AAAAAAAAACCGACCAGTTGAAACTCTGGTAACCACACAAAATTACTAGGTAAACCTTCTCCTGATCTATGGCTTCTATAAACTTCTTTCGTGCATAGCTCCAGGCATTTACTGTTGCAGCAGCTGAATTTCTACAAACTTCCAACTCAGAATCATCTTTAACAGCAAATACGTGAACGAACGAAGCAGATACGTCAACCTAAATACTTCTAAAAGGTTTGAATTATCTCAAAAACATTCTGCACCTCAAAAATTGATAATCACAGAAAAATTGCTCAAAGATGTATGATACGCAAAGAAACCGTGCTATAAACCTCGACTTATTCGATGTCAAAACTAAGATGTGCAAACAGCGCAAGGTGATGGTTTCTGAACAAGTTTTCGAGCTTTATTTTCGATCTGCACTTGAACAACTTCAAAGAAAAACGAAGTACGTCCAGGTAATCGCAAATGGAAGGAAAAAAAGCAAACCTTCTCGACATTAGCGGAAGCCTTTTGCCAATCATTGCAAAAGTCAGAGTCAAAGACATCTTTTGCAAAATATCCAACTTTGTTATTAGCATCATCCTTGATAACTTCCAATAACTTTGTAAAATTAGCGGCATCTTTATCTGACTGAAAAATTATATCTTTACACATTAAAACAAAATTCAAACTACTCACTTTATCTCTGTGAATTGGTGTTACCGGTGGCACAGCACCTATAAACTCGTCGGATTTCACACTATTGAAGTAGTCAGCCTTCCTGTTGCTTGCCAAAACGTAAATGCCTTAATCATTGTGAATAATCGTTATAGACTAAGATTAAAAAAGCATATGAGACAAAGCAATACCTTTCTTTGTAAAAATCATAAGAGTATCCAGCAATTCTGTATTCAGCAACCAGATCTAGAATAAATCTTGTGAAATGCATTAAAACACCAACAAAAAAAACTTACTTGGAACGCCTTCGACTTGGAGTATTGCACTGCTCCTTCATCTTGCCCTACCATGATCATAAGAGCCTCAACATCTCCTAAACCATACGAGCCTGCATTCTAAAAAGAATAAGATAGTCGTGACCCAAAAGAACTGAACTAGCAGAAAAAAA